AGCTTTCTTTCCACATCAGCATAATTAAAGCAGCAACCTCTGTAAGGACAGATGAAGCTGCTGCACATTCTGCTATGAGTTTCCTTCTTGTTCCCTGCTGGAGTCAACGTGCTCTGACTGAGGTTCAAAAGAAAGAGGTGTTTGTTAACAGGATAAAATGCAAAGGGATGGAGAATAACAGTTCTCATTGCGTTTGAGGACTGTGACACTGCACAGAACCTTCTGGCACAATGCACAATGCAAACAGCACAATGGAAGCATTGCTGGAAACCTCTACTTTATAACCTTTGAGGAGCTGCAGGAACTGATGTTTTCTCCTTCCCATACCAAATAAACTACCTGTTAACCTTTGCAAAAGCTTTACCATATACCCTGAGCTATTCAGCTCCTTCTCAATGTTCTAAAGATCCTTTGCCAATTTTTCAGCTGCCAAACTGCCCCTGCAACCTGAGGGAAATAGGGCAAAACAAACACCTTCTCTTCCACAGATTTACTACATCACTTACTGAAGCAGCTTTGGGGAGAGCAAAGTGCTGGTGCATTGGTATAACCAAAACAGAGTTGTTCCTTGCCCAGAAATTGCTTATGCAACACAAAGCCAACACTGACTGATTCTCTCTCTCTCTCTCTCTCTCTGCTTTGGGAATGGCACATCTCATGTTATTTTTCTTCCAGCCAAGCTATACAAAGTCTCCAAGTATCAGGAACATACCCACAGCTTCCATGGAGCCTGAAATTTCCTCTCATCTCCTTTGTCCAAGGGACAGAGGTGTTGACAGCTCTGGTATTAGCCTAATAGAAGATTTCAAAGGCTTAAAGTGCTGTGATTTTACAGCACTGCTTGGGCTACTCCTGCAAGGAAATAAAGCCTTGAATATCAAGCAAATTGACATTCCTTCAAATACAAATAAAGAATTCAGCTAGAAAAATAATAAAGAGGAGTAAAAGAGGATTTTATAAAGATTTTCTGCAAGGCAGCAGGAGAAGCAAAAGGCAGGCAGCAGGGAAGGCTTGAAAGAAATAATAGGGCCATAAAACATGAAATTAATTGGGTGTAAGGGGCAGATTGCATTCTTGACACCCAAAGCACATCCAGTGACTTCAGGCTACTCTCAGGCATGTCATTCCCAAAGACATGAACTCTGGAAGATCCTTGCAAAGCTTCACATTGCTGATGTACTTTCTTCTCTGCTCCTGGACTACCTCAGAGATTAAACTCTGAGCATCAATTCTTGCAGACCCTGAGACCCTTTCAGCACTCAGCCAAGCTGCCTGGGGAGGGTAAAGAGGCCAACATCTCTAGAGGGCTCAACACTGCTCAGCAGCTGCTCCTCAGCACTGGGGGATTTGCAGCTAGATTTAAGTGTTACATGCAAACAACTAAATTGGCTTAGCTATTTATAGCAAGCAGACTTTTGGCATGCTGGATCTCTGGTCAAATGCTTTGGCAATAAGCAGAGTGGCTGTTCTTTACCAACACAACACTGCAGGTCTCTCCTGAGTGTGGCTTGGCTAGTGTGGGTAGTGCAGGATAGGACTCTCATTCCCTTCTGGATCTAGCCTGGCTCACAGAAATCCTTGGTGGTGCCCAAATCTCTTAAACATCACTGAAGGAAGTTTTTTCCTCTCTTATTTTAGGAGCAGCCTTGGAAGGCAAGCTTTAAAAAGGAGTGCACAACTTTTCTGGATCACTTGATGAAGCTATTGCATGTGTTGGTGGCTTTCCCAGGGCAAAAGATGCCCTAGCAAAATTCCCAATGAAATGATCCCTAGGCTTATGAATGTGAAGAGCTCACGGTGTGGAAACACAGGAGAACATTCTCCTTTAGCATATAGAGCATGGAAAACTCCAAACCACTAAGAACTCCTCAGACAGCCTTGCAAAGAAGAGATTCCTCTGCCTGTTAACATGCCTAAGGAAGAAAAATGCTGAAAGCTCCACAGGTTGTTGGCTCAGCCCTAAAAACTACCCATGGACCATTCCTTTACTCATTTCCACTGGCCATGACCCATCCAGCAAGACAAAAATGCAACTCAGGAACTGCATCCAAAGAGAGAAACCCAATTCCTCATGTAATTAAATAACCTTTATTTTATAAAACATAATACAAAGCATCTACACCATTCACTGGTGGAACATTAGTTGCTATTACACAGTAATTCAACCACGAGTTATTATTTCACACTAGTTCTGCAGTTTCCTTTCACATTTTGCTCTAGCCACTATGGACTAGCCTGAGGACAGGTCCCACCCTGTGCTCCACAGCTTGGAAGTTGTACTTCTGGGTCTGTGACTCTATGCTGGAGCCATAGACACACTATGAGGTCTTGCTCTGAGATATTGTTGCTAGCTCCACTTCATAAAACCATTTCTGCTTGCCCCTTTGGCTTTCTGGTGCCTTTGTTTACCTTCTCAAGCTTCATCAGTGCTCTACTTCTTCCAACCAAGCTTCCCTCAGCTCAAAGAAGAGAACCATTAGAGATGAAAACATCTTCATTCAAGGTGGTTCCCAGATCCCTGCAGAGACTGAGTGATGTCCTTATTCACTTGGGCAGGTGTGGGCTGTGCAGCCCCCCCAGAAGGGCTGTAACCACACAGGAAGCTGCACACCACAACCTCAGAGTCCAAACCATCAGGGCTGCTCAGGAAATTCAGTGGACAAGTCAACAGCTGCACTGAGAAATGAGCTGTTCCACCTATGGTTCTCCAGGTTGAAATCCCTTATATTCCCTACCCAGACTGGCTGCTGAAACTTTTGGCTCCAGATTTTCTCCAGTCTTTACTAGGGGAAAAACCACCAAACATCCTTTCTTTAATTTGGGGGTCCAAGAACAAGCAGCACCACAGCTGATCTTTATGTGCATGTCCAGCTTACTCCCTTTGACTCCTACTCATAAGCACCTTTGTAAACCCCTTGGACTCCTGGTTGTTTTTTTTTTGGGGGGGGAGGCAAACCAGCTGCTGGGAAGTGCCATGTTCAGGTGCCAGTTTTTTTTTTTGGGGGGAGGCAAACCAGATGCTGGGAAGTGCCATGTTCAGGTGCCAAAGTGCTGCTGATGGGTCACAGTCACTCAAAGCAACAGCATCTTGCTTTTTTTTTTACCCAGCACAGCATGACACACAGCACCAAGCACTCATCAAAGGGTGTTAAACACCCCACGAGGTAGGTAAGACTGTACCCACAGCACAGAGTGGGTAAGCTGAGACAAAAAGGCTCCTTGACATCCTCAACAGCAACAGGAAAAAAAAACAAACCAGCAAGTCCCACCTAGCCCTTTTTGTCTCCCTGCAAGGCTCAACAGTAATATCACACTGTGCTAAAATGAGACAAGTTTCCTTTTCAAGGCTCAGCTCACCCATCAGTTGGCTCTGCTCATCTGAAGAGCTTTTTTGGAGCTCTTCAGGTCTTTGGCTCCCAGCAGAACAGGCACCTGAGCTGCACTGCAGGCCTGGGGCTGAGGCTCAAGTGAAAACAGCATCATCATGACAGCAACAACAAAGGAACAGCTTAAGAACACTCAGTGAAATAAACACCAGGAGTTGCCAACTGGGAACAGTTTTTTCCCTGCAAATGGGATCATTTGTAAGAAGTCAGGATCAGAAGTAATGTTTGTTTTTACCCCCAGTCAGGTTCACTTTATTTGCTTAAAAACCAGGGCTAGATTCTGTGCCTGTCACCTCTTCAATTATTAAGCTGGAAAATAAAGTCTCTCTGAGCCTACAAATGCTCATTTTATACAGTAGCTCAGATCCAATGAGGGACACAGAGAAAAATCAAAGCCCAGGGGTCAAGGCATCACTTCAGATGAAGGAGAGCCAAGGTGAGGTGTCTTTGGCTTCCACAGGGCAGATTTGGAGCTGTGCAGCTCTCCCACCTTAGCCACTGGGTTTTGATGCCTGTTGGCCACTCTTCAACCAGAATTCCCAAATTGGATTTGGGTCACTAAGACAGCAGAGGGAATTTGGGTGTTCTGAGGACCCATCAGCCAGAAACTCTCTTACTGGCAAGTCCTGATGGGGCTTCTCCTACCAGAGAGTGTTGGTCACTGGAGGAGCCAAAAGGAGTGTTTGTAGGGGTGGGGGGAATTGTAACAGTGTGGGAATGAAGAGGGAAAAAGTCAGAAAAGCTTTTCACACCAGGAGCTGTGTCTTTGGGTGTATTCACAGAGCACCTAGTCCTGTAAGGCTCCAGTGCTGCTTAGAGCTGCTGGACACTACAGAGCAATAAGTTATATGTTAATAAATAAGTTATTAAAAGGGGTAGGAAACAACTACCTACCTAAAATACTGATTTTTTTCTTTCCAGAGTCACACTCTAGCTCAACCACCAAACCCCAAAGGAAACATAGGGATAATGAACCAAGTGCAGATAACAACCTTCATTTTGCATTTTGATAGCACCTCTCAAGTGAAAATCTGAAAGTGCATAACACAGATGGATCAGCTCCATCACCCCCAAGTCACAGATGGGGAAATTAGGCACAGAGTTAGAGTTATGTGACTTGCCCAAGGTCACATAACGACTTGGTGGAAGAGCCAGGAATCCCAACCTGGATGCAACACTAGAACATGCTTCTTCCTAAGAGCATGAAGAGTCACTCTAGCTGCCTAGACTGCACAGGACACTGAACATGAAGACCTTAGTGTTATCTTCTCCTCTCTTCCAAGGTTCTAGCAGTGCTGAAGGAGCTAGCTAGCATCACTATTTACACCTGCACTGCTGGACTAGTTGTGTTTAGTATAGAAAATTAGCCCTTCTTTCACTTGTATCATTTAGCATCTGCTTAGGTTCACCCCGAGCCAGTCCCTGCCAGGCCAAACCCTGCAGACCCAATGAATCCATGGCATAACTCCACGGTTTTCAGTGGAGTTAGGCCAGGGATCAATTTGGCTCCAGAATTACTAATGTGTGTTGGCTCCTCTCCCAACAGTGGTATTCCAGGCACGATCCCCTTCCTGCCAGACTGGGAACTCGAGGAAGTCTTTACTCAGCATCTACTCAGTGGTTTTTCAGGTGCCCATTGGTTTTCAAGTAGAACTCGTTGCTCCTCCAACTCCTCCAGGCTTGGTATTTCTTCATGCTCTTCCTCCTGGCGAAGCGACAGATGCTGACCATGAAGACCCAGGAGACAGCATACATGATGACCCCTCCCAGCTTGATGTACCACCTGGGCTTGGGGGAAGCAAGCTCACAGTACATCAGCCAGGCTCCCATGCCAATGCGCACGCCGGTGAAGAGGACCACGAAGAAGAAATCCACCACATCCCCCGTGAAGCTGTGGTAACAGCCCATCTCCTTGAGGAACCAGCGAGCCTGCAGCAGTGGGTTGGTGATCTCACTGCCAAAGATGACAGCATTGACGTCTGCAGCTGATTCCCCCAGTGCCAAGGAGGCTGTGATGCCCACGATGCTCACCAGATGGTGAGCCAGCATCAGGGCACCCTCTGTTTGGTAGTACACACACCAAAACAGGTCAAAGAGGAAGTAGCCCAAGCTAAGGCACAGCCCAAAGACCTGAAGAGTTGTGTTTGGTGAGCCTGAAACACAAAGACAGCGGGCAGAGGTTTAAAACACAGAGGCAACAAGCAGGCAGGGTATGAAACAAGGCAGGGGGATCCACCTGCAGCACGAGCAGGGTGGTGGTAGCTTGTACTGCTCACAGCTCAGGCAGAGAAGTCACAATACCATAGTTGTTAGTCCAACAGCTGCACACACGTAATGGCCAAGCTATGTCACCACATACTCTGCCAAACTGCAGCTGGGGAGGGCCAGGACACCAACAAAATACAGTACCAGCCTCTCCATTTCCCTAGCACTTCCCATCACAAAGCAGCTCAGCTAGAATTGCACTTCTTGAGCGAGCTGGAGGTGGGAGGAAAAGCCCACGTTGTGCCCCCACCCATTGGGTGCCTTCCATCACTTACCTGGGTGGCTCAGAGGCCAAGGCCCAGCAATGAAGCCAATGTAGGCAGAGAGACAGGTAGCAAGGATGCCATGGGTCAGTGTGACCAGCCTGCAGCTCCACTCGTAATTCTTGTGCCTGTAGCGGTGGCAGAACCACTTGTAGAGGGAATACCAGGCTAGCAGGCTGCAGGCCACCCTCAGGGGCAGGGGGAACAGCATCCTGCCACAGCAACACACAGACAACACAAACTCATCAGCAGGTTGAGCCTTCAGCACCATTAGCACAACCCAGCACAGGTTTGACCGTGACCACCTCAGCACTGAGTGTTCAGAGCTGTTTCCTTGTGGTGTCCCTTGCTCTTCACAAGTTGTTTCTTTTTCTGCAAAGGAGCTGTGGTCACTCAGGGGAAAGGCCTACAAAGTGTAGAGGGCAGATTCACTGTGTGGCCACCAGCACAGAGCCCACCAGGGTCAGGGGAGCCCCTCAAAAATATAATACCCCAAGAGTTATACCTTGTTCTTAGTTATAACACCTCTGCATGAAATATAAGATGTGTCTCATCACTCCCAAGCACTCAGGGAAGTGTAACCAAAGAGATTGAGTCACACTTTGGGATACAGGAGTTTCCAGTTGGGCAACAGCAAAAGCCCCACTGGTACCTGCTGGTACCTGCTGCCCCACGCTGGCCTCAGCCCAGGGCTGGGGAGCACCAAAGGGACTTCACGTGATGAGGAGTCATTGCTGCAAAGCCCAACCTTCCTGTTTGGCCTGTTGAAGTATTCCCAGGAATGACTGGAGGCTGAGTAAACAAAACCATTAGGGTTTAATGGGCCTTGGGAACATGGGAGATGAAATAAGGATGTGATTAACTGCTCTGGTCAGGTACTGGAGGGCCAGAGTTAGGGCAGATGAGGCAGGAAGAATTCTGATATGACAAAAGAGATTGACCAGATGGAGAAATCCTTCCCTGTGAAGGTGCTGAAGCTCTGGCACAGGTTGTCCAGAGCAGCTGTGGCTGCTCCATCCCTGGGAGTGTTCCAGGCCAGGTTGGATGGGGCTTGGAGCAACCTGGGCCAGTGGAAGGTGTCCCTGCCCATGGCAGGGGTGGAATGAGATGATCTCTAAGGTCCTTCCAAGCCAAATCACTCTGTGATTTGTCCTTAATGTACAAATATACACAATACATATTGCCCCTGTGCATTATGCCTGTCCCTGCACACAGAAAGGCCAATATCATTGAAACCCAGCAAGAATTATATCATTATTTGTATCAGCAGTAGCAACAAGGCCTGGAATGAAATCAGCCTCTACAATAAACAAATATGCCTAAAAACCCAAGTGCAGAACAGCCTGAAAGCAATTAAAACCTAGATCATAGAATCATCAGGATTAGAAGAGACCTTTAAAACCATCAAGTCCAACCAGTAACCTGTCACTGCTGTAACTCCTAAACCAGATCCTCCAGTGCCACATCCAGACACCTCTCAAACACCTCCAGGGATGGTGACTCCACCACCTCTCTCAAAGCTCTCCAGTGCCAGATCCAGACACCTCTTAAACACCTCCAGGGCACTCCACCACCTCCCCGGGCAATATTCCCATGCCAAGAGTGGAATATGCACCTCCAGCAAAGCACTGCTATTCCATTACTCCCTTCTTTTTTTTTTTTTTTTTTTCAGCCCATACCAACGAGAAGATGGAGGAGCCCGGAGAGGACATACAAAGAACATATCCTAGGGGCACAGCCTGTGCATTCACCCACCCACCCACCTCTCCATCCATCCATCCATCCATC